CTCATGTGGATTAGCCTCTGAAAGAGGTTCTGACTGTGCTGGTGAATTGGGTAGGGTGGGGTCTCAGAGAAGCACCAGGGTGGGAAAAGAGCTGTTGGCCAGGTTAATGGAGACTCTGATTTGGCACCCGCCTGCATCTGCAGATTCTGTTGGGGGAGAGTTCAACAAAGGCACAATGGCATTGTAGTCCTGGAGAGAGCTGCCCCTCCAGCCCTCACCCGTCAGTTCAGCTCCTCTCCATATGTCCCTGACACTTTTCGAGCTGTTGTCTCTTCTCTGGAGCTTAGGGCGTTTGTGAGCAAGTGAGTCTTTGCATGGGCCCTTTAAGAGGACGCCTAGGTCTACAGTGTCCTCCGTCTTACCCAGATGGAATCCCTGATGATTTTCACAGCAGTATGTTGTGGGGATTCCTCTTCCCAGCACTGGTGCACTGGGATGGAACCCCTCATTCCTCAGTGGAGACCTCTGCAGCCGAGATATCCCTCCCAATTCCTAACTGCCACACATAGGGTATGCAGTAAATCAGACTGCCTTCAACATGTGGGTATGACTGCAGAGATGTGTCACAAAGCCAGGGACTTAAATTCACTGCTCCCTGAGGGCCAGCTGTAATCTCCAGCTGTTCCTCTGGCCTTGGTAGTCAGTACAGAAAGTTTCATATGGATTTCTCTATTCTTGACTTTTCAGTACAGAGATTCTTTATCCTCACTTTCCCGAATCTTTCTTCCATAAGCCAGAATGCTATTCTGAGCCTTAAAACTGGAGGTCCCATTAGAATTCCAATCACTGAACACTGAAGCTGCCCCCAGGCACCTGGCGTCTGCTGTGTGAGATGTGTGCAAACACAGGAGTGGGAGGTGCAGCGTGGAAGCACTACAGATGGCAGCAAAGAACAGCAGCAGGGAAGAGCAGGCAGAGCCTCTCACTGGGTTTCTGTTAACACTATGAATATACAAAATCAGACTTTATATTTCCAATCGCAAACAGTGATACTTACATTAATGACAACTTGGGACTTATTTCCATCTTATTTTGTGCTAATTTCTCCTCCCCGCCCCCCAAACTTTTCTGACTTCCGTTGGTTTAATAATTTTCTTTAGTCCATGTTTATTCCTGTAGAGTTCCTATTATTTTAGTGGAGACACTTTACATTGTAACATACACACTTTTGATTTTTCTAACACAATATAAAGTCAACACTTTTTCCTGTAGATATTTTAACCTCTCTCGAAACATCAGCCTCCTCTCGTCTGATGTAGATCAACCTTATTTCAAACCACAATATTTTTGTTTATAGTCAATAATTATTTTTGCTTTAACAACGTATATTGATTTGGTTTTGGGGTTTTTTTTTTGCATCTCATTCTGGGCTCCCTTTTCTTTTCACTAAAGGATAAAATAAATATACAAGGCAGCATTCAGGGTTTGTGGTGGGGAGTATAACGATATCCTTTGTGGACTTTTCAAACTGTAACGTACTTGGTTCTGTGTGCTATAATAAATGAGTCCACCTGTTGCTTTCACTCTGAAAAATTCTTAGCTATTTCTCCAAATATTGCCTTCCCCATTCTCATTCTATTGCCCTACCTGAACTCTCATGTTTTCAGTCTCCGAGTCTCTCTGTTAGTTCTGGGTGATCCTCAGTATGTCTTCAGTTGTCTTGGGTCTGTTTCTCCTTTAAATTTTTAAAATTTCATTGTCCAAAATCAATTTTCAGTTCCAAGTTGTTTATATTCGCAGGGGAGAAACCTGACCTAGTTTCATAAACCATTTTTGTTTTGACTATTATTTTTCTTAGGAGTTTAAATATATAAGTCTCTCTGTTAGTTCTGGGTGATCCTCAGAATGTCTTCAGTTGTCTTCGGTCTGTTTCTCCTTTCAGTTTTTAAAATTTCATTGTCCAAAATCAATTTTCAGTTCCAAGTTGTTTATATTCGCAGGGGAGAAACCTGACCTAGTTTCATAAACCATTTTTGTTTTGACTATTATTTTTCTGAGGAGTTTAAATATATTGTCTTTTCAGATTCCTATTTTTATTTCCTGAGTTATCAATGTTCCTGTTAGATTTGCTGGCAGTTTTTCATGCCATGTATCAGTTGTCTTAATGCTCAAATGACAGTTTGGCTAGTTAAAAAAAAAATTAACTCATACATCGTTGGAGGGCTTTGTAGGCATCACTCTATTCTGATCAAATGCTGCTGTGGAGGCATCTGAAGCTGACATAATTTTTCTCCTTTGTAAAAGACTTCACGTTTTTTCCCTGACTACATGGTTCTCTATCTTCATAGCCTACACTCAGATGTATCTTAGTCTTGATTATTCTGTCAGATATTTTGAAATACTGTTATGTCCTTGATTATACAGATTTAAACTTGTAATTTGGGAAAAGTCAAATTTTCTAGAATTGTTTTAGTAAAAATGCATTTTTATTTCAGCTTTCATTCTTTCACTTTATTTCCATTTTATTTACTTTTATCATCCTATGTTTTGCTACTTCACTTTTTGCTTACCTATTAAGTGTTTTTTCTGCTTGAGAACTTCCAACTTAATTTCCTTATTTTGTCCTTACCTGTCACTTCTAAATTATGACCTTGTTTATACAAGTAATCGCATGTTCTAAGCCAGTACAACCTTTCCTCCTTCACGGCTCAATCTCAGGCAGATGTTTCCTGCTGGGGTGGTATGTGGGGATGATTCCCCATTCACCCCTGCTTTCTTTGCCACTCTGAACCAAACCAGGTTCCAGAAAACTTCAGGGCTAGCCCAAGTGGCCCTCACTGTGGAGAACTGTTCTGCTGGCTTTTACGTTGGGCTACCCTCTCTGTGCTCCAGCTTCCCACTGTTTTCAGCAGCCCTTAAAGGTTTCACATGTCTTGAGCCAGCTTCCTCATTGGTAAATTGCAGATACTTCCTACCTTGCATAACTATTTGTGCCAATGAAATGAAAGAACCTGTGTAAAAACAGCAGCTTCTCAGAGCCACAGGCATAACAATGGGTAAAATAACTTTGTAATAACCTTTCCTGGTTTCAGGTTATTGCGTGTGGGGACACTACTGTCATATCCTCTACTGTCTCTGCTGGTGACTCTAGTGAGTCATAACCGACTTCCCCTCAGGCACACATGGGTGTTTTTCTTCCTGTTCCCATGCACCCTGTACATACCTCCATGCTGGCATTCGTCAGCCCAGATCCTACACAGGTCACCTACATACAGTCACCATATAGCACTAGGAGGATCTAAGTAGTTGAATAAATGGAGACAAATCTTCTATATTTTTCAGTGTTTCTTGTCCCTAATGGTAATATAACCTCTAAAGAAAATCTAGCTCTTTAAATGGACATTCTGCAAATCATCAGGTAATGATTTTGCTGGTTACCAGCAGTGTACATCTACCACCACCTCCCCCCAGAATCTGCTTAATCACCTTATTGGGAAAGTTCTGTATTTCTAAAAAGCAAGCTTATCTCTTCCCATCATCTATTAACCAGGTTTAACGACCTTCTCTTACGATGCCGAGAACTAGATACTTGGACACAAGATCTTGCTCTTCCGGCTGTGGTGTGGCTTTCAGGATTCTTCAACCCTCAGTCTTTCTTAACTGGTAAGGGCAGCCCCTGATGTCAACAGAACCACACCCCTAGCAGAAATCCCATCTACCTTTACCTGTGAGTGACTCTCCTTGCCCACCAGGTGTCATGCAGTAGCCATTACAGAGAAGGGAGTACAAGAGACAGCAGCTTCAGAGGAAATAAAATTCCGGACACGGGAATAGCAGCTCCAGGGAAGGAGGCCCAGGAATGGGAGGGATGTGGTTCATTCTAGCAAACATTTTTTGCCAAGGGCCATCTGGTCTTTTACAAGGGCTCCACTCTGCCATGACAGTGCCGAAGCGACCAGACAACACATAACCAAATGGGCATGGCTGTTCCAGTAAAACTTCATTCACAAACTCTGAGGTTGTCTTGCAGGCCTAGCTTGCCAACCCTCGCTCTAACGTAGCCACGTGCAAACACCTGAGAACCGAAAGCACGTCTTGGGTGGAGGCGCAGCTGACCAGGGCTCCCGGAGGCTACATACAACCCTTCATCCTCTTCCTCCTCCTCCCAAAGCGATCATGCAGACCATGGCTCGAAAAAACGAGTGGCCACTAGATAAAATGTGCTTGACTGTTGATGTTACCAAAAAAACGAAGGAAGATTATGGACATCCCCCACGGGAAGGCGCCTATCTGTCCGGCCTCCTCATGGAAGGTAAGACACCCCAAGGAGCGCAATTAAGGACCTTGCGTACTCAGGTTCAAGTTGGTATTTGTCCTTCGTTTATTCCATTTCTCAGCATTCGCACACTAGTGGTTACTTATCTGATTTCCTGCTTAAAAAAAAAATTAAATGCCACATTGTGAGCCAAATCTTACGGCATTTCGGTTACGTAAATGGCTGTCACTTAAATCTGTGCATCTATCTGATGTTAATACCACAAGGTAATTTAAGGCCTACACTGAATTTAAATTATGCTTTTCGATATAATCAATTCAAAATCTCCTTTTTTCACTCCTCCAAGCCTTTAAGACGTCAGTGCACACCTCTGAAGCGGGGGAGGGGAAAGGGTGGAGTATGCCGCGTTTTCCAGGTTGACTTGGCCATGCGTTTATTTTGAAGACCATTTCCTCTTACCCCAGCCTTTGTCACGATGCTCTTTCACTTGTGGCACTTGCTCTAAAGACGGGAAATGAGGTACCTGAACTTGGTGTAAGAAAAGAAAGTGCAGTGGGAAGGAAATGTGTGGAGACCAGACTGTCTAGAAGCCTTCAGGTTCACATTTTTTTAAGGCAGGTAAACCAGTTTGTGTCTGGATTGCTATGGAATCTGTTTTCCCAAGAAAGTTTAGGTGTGAAGCAGGGGAGCAATGATCTGCTTACTGCGTGTAAACGGCGTCTGGGTAGCAGGTATCCTAACCTCCGTCTTGGGCCAGCTTGGTAAGAAAGCCACTGACAAGCAGTAACGTGACAAAACCAGAACATTTATTGCCTACAACACTTACAAGATCAGTATCAACACGCCCCACCGTTGCAACCCTTGTGTTTTTGCTGCAGGTGCAAGATGGGACATCCAGTCAGGAACCATTGTGGAAGCCCGCCTCAAGGAGCTGACATCTGTGATGCCAGTCATCTTTGCAAAAGCCATAACCATGGACAGAGAGGAAACCAAACATACCTATGCATGCCCTGTATACAAAACCAAAACGAGGGGCCCCAACTATGTCTGGACCTTCAGGTTGAAGAGCAAAGAGAAGACGGCCAAATGGGTCCTGGCAGGCGTGGCTCTGCTGCTAGAAGCATAGACGACGCTCATGCTGGGACTCACGTCCCTCCAGCCTCAGCCAGAACACAGTGAGGATTCTTCATTGTCACTGTACTATTCCACATACATTTTTATTGCACTGAGGGGCATAAAACACATTCCAGTTTCTGTAATTTTTAAGTAACTTGTAAATGTGCATTAATTTTTTTTTTCTTTTTTTAAAAAAACACCATCCTTAAAAAGTGGAGAAGGGGGAGAGAAAGAAGCAGTGTCGAAAAAAATACTGGAATCTGTTTTAGCTTTCCTCAGTACCCAACCCACAACACAAAAGTACAGTATCTCTCACATTTTCATCAAGGTTCCACTGAAATACAACCTCAAAAACTGGGGTCGGCAGCCTGGTCAGTAAGTGGGATTTTAGTTCTTGTAGATGTTTAAACAAAACCCTTTTAAGTTAGCCCTTACATTCTCTTAAGGTCCAGAAGCAACTGGCCCCGGGCAGATGTCCCTGCTGGCCAGCAGCGCTCCGAGGCCTCCAGTGTTGATGTGACAGTCCACTTTTCAAGTTTTAATAAAAATAAAACTCTAGTACTCTCAAGTTCTGTGGTTAATTGCACTTTGGAATTTAGGGGAACAGTCATCAATATAAATTTCCAATCACACAGAGCAGGTTCAACTACATGGTTTGAATTAGGTAAAGGGGATAGATCCCCTGTGAAAACTTAAAGAGTCGGAGGGGGTAGGGGGGGTAAAATGTCAAGGCAACATTGATAAGTAAACAGTGACAAAAGCAAGAGCTACTTTTTTTCCCTGGAACTTACCTGAACTTTAATTGTGCTTTTTAATCATCTGCAGATGCTTTTAACAATTCAAACAGGCCTGCGTATACATGTATATAGATTCCTCGAGGTGCTTAGCTGTCTTCCTGAGAAATCTTTGTAAGCATATAAACAATCTTTAAAAAAAAAATAGTATTTAGATCTACGAAGAATTTCTGTATAAAAACACGACTGTAAGAAATTCTTAGGCACAAATGGTACGTATGGCACGTCTTGTTGGAGTATGCTAAGGTGAGTTGGCTGATTCTTCTCTTAGTTGTCTTCTACCAGCTGCTTTTGAAAGCTGGGAAAAAGATGGGCAGTGTTAGTGTGATGATCAGTGGGAGGGAGATAAGGGCAAAGCCCAACCCGGATCTGTCAGTCCGGACTCCTTAAGTAACAGCAGGTGCGACCTGCCTCATTCCAACACTGCTTTAGAGTTTGTTGTGGACCACAGTTCCCTCTCTTCTCCCCAGAATGAGATAACCACGTCCTAAGTGCACATCCCTTAAATTCCTGCCTCACATACTCCATTTCTGTTAAGGGGAAATTGTGGCTACAGGCGGTACCAAGTTGAAAATTCTAGCAACATAAGGAATTTCCTAATAGGAAAAACATCAGTCCTGAGCTTCTCCAAAGCAGAGTTAAAGAATGATGGCACTCGAGCTGGTGGGTAAGCATCAGCCAGAAACGAGGCAAGCACTACCTGCCCTGCCGGCGTTACCACCTCTGGTTTTGGTTTTAAGACTTACCTCTCCAGATACTCCTTAACGTTATTATAACCGTAAAACTTGGCCAGATGAATGAGGATGCCTGTGGCACAGCGGCCATCACGCCTCCGGCAATAACTGCAATTGCAGATCCCACGGCAGGGAGGACACATCCAGTCCTAGGAGAAATGAAATGACCCCCTTATCTGCAGGCTCTGATCAGGCTGCTTCGACGGATCTCTCCTCCAGTCTTTAACTGGGTGTTATCTTTTAGCATGTGTCACAAGGGGAAGGAGTACTGTCTCCTTCCTGTTTCAAAAAGGCCCCAAAGCTTGATCCTGCAAGGACCAGCTGATGTAACTAGGAGATACCTGTTCAAGAATTTTGGAGCATTTTAGGAGCACAGGGTTTCCAAAGATCAGCGGGACCAGGGTGTGAATGCGAGTTCTTCCACATCCCATTTGTGTGACAGTTGTTAAATCATTTAACCTGAGTGAGTTTACGGTCATCTGCAAATTGAGGACAGTACATGACTTATATAAAAGGCTAAGGGCATGGACTGTCCAAGCTAATATTAACCGTGAGACTTATTTTACAGAAGTAACTGAGGCACAGAAAGGTATATATGTATCTACTTCATAAGGATAAATGAGTTAATAACCACTGAGATAAACGGCATTACAGATGTGAAACCTCAGAGCAGTGCTGGGCACAGATTCATCTGGATGAACCAGACAGCTGTCAAAAAGGTTGGCTCTGGCTCTGGAAAACCCAAGGCAACCTCTTCTCCTATTAGTCAGCTCGGTCCCTTTCTAGAAGGAAACCCTATTCTTCATTTCTCCCAGCACCTTAAGATGCAGAGAGAGGGCTCCACAGGCCCTGCAGCTCTGGGTCCCCGGGAATGGGAGCATCTTCAGGCTTCCCTTCACCAGGACGAGTTACAAAGAGCACGAACGCTGCTCCTACCGGGTCCAACAGGGCTGATCTCACGTCCTCCCCGTAGCGGTTCCGCAGGCACGGCCCACAGAACTGGCCCCGCACCCCGCCGCAGCTCTGGTTCCGACACACCGTCTTGGTGTCGATGGTCTTCTGCCGACACTGGTGGCACGTGTTACCCTGCAGGAGGACGGTGGTGAGCGGTTAATACGGATGTACGGGGCCACACGCACGTCCTAAATGCACGAGGACACACTGCCCTCTCCTAGGGTCAAGCAGCATTGATTTTCTGGTACAAGCCATCGCGCCCTCCAGTAGCCCGTCAGCACTTTTAGTTCTGGGGCCAGAGAAACATCTTAGGGCAGGTGAGACTGAGCAGGAAGCCTAGAAGAAATGAAACCATCAGGTGGACACAAATGATCAGGGACCAGAGGGAAGGCAGGAGGGTCAGAGGCCCCAGAGTGGCTATGAGCCCTGGGCAGCATCACTCAGCTCTGACCTAGTTCCTGGTGGTCAGTTTAAACATGCTGGCAATTAAACTAAAAACATTTTAATACTACCTTAAGGCTGTGTCCCATTATCTTAAAACTGTGCAGAACAGCACAAAGTCTCCTTCTAAATCACCATTTAAAAGAAATTTTAACCTGCCCTCTTACCAACCGAAGATAGTCTCTCAAACTTGTTTTTATGGTTATATTAACCAAAAAGCATATTGTTTGCTTCTGTGTTCAAAACAAAAACGATATATTGAAAATATGTTATAAATAGGTTTTTCCGAACTGTACCCCTGCATCCCCTCAAGAAACTTTTCCCTGACAATTCCTGCACGAAGCCATCATCTTCCCCAGTTATAACTGACCCTCCAATTCAGAGCCCGCCTCTGTGCTCTGGGGAGATGGCACAGTGTGTAAGCCCAGATACAGTTTAAAAACAATGCAGGATTTCAAATCCCAGTG